GTCGATAGGTCAATGACCGTAGCGGGTTTCGCCGCATGCGGCCCTATGACACTTATATCTATATTGCAAGTTGATGGCGTGAAGGCAAGTCGCGGGTCGCGAACAGCCGCGACAGCGCGTCGGAGACTCACGCTCCTTCGTCCACTGCTACCACCATCTACAATGCAGACGCCTATCACACGCGTCATCGTACGGTTGCCCACTGCGCGACCCGAGCACCCACTGGCGGATCCTGAGCCCGTGAGTGCGTGTGCTCTAACCTGACTCGCGCCACAGTATTGACTTGCGAGACAGTTTGGAATGCGGAGAAGGAGAAGTACTTATGGGAACAGACACGTTCGAGTGAGGGCGCTGCACCAGATTGTACGTGTTTTCTGTATCCTATGCGCTTCCGCGTCTGATCGAATAACAGGGAAGGCGCTAGCGCGCGCACTGGATGTACCACTGCCGTATCTCCTCTACCGTGCACAAGCACGCTACGAACAGGACCTTCGCGGGTTACAGGATGTGCGCGGCGCCCTGAGTCCGCCCACACCACAAGCTCAGCCACGTGCCGGATCGTATCTGGACGCAACGGGCTCTGGGATCGGCAATGGCAGCGTGAGCAAGAACGCCGTGCCTGCGCGCTTGGGCGTGCGAGCGCGCCTGAGCTCATTGGGCAACGCGTCGGCGGCGCGCTCGGCTCTGAACCGCGCCGCTGCGGGAGAAGCAAGCACGGGCCGCATCAAAGACGCGGCGAGCAGCGTGCTTACGCTGCGACACGACGGCGCATCTTCCGCGCCAGCTAGACGACCCATCTCACCTGTTTCGTCGCATTCGGGCTCGGGCTCGGACTTCGACGCCGACGAGGAAGACGCGGAGGCAGAGAAAGAGCGCGCGGCCGAGGCACAAGAGGTGCTTGCACGAAAGCTTGCACGACTACAGAAGGAAATGACAAGGGATGCTCTTGGACTTGTGCGTGGCACAACCGGTGGGAGCTCCATCAGGTCCAAGGGAAAGAGCAAAGACCGCGACTCCCTCGGCGCGAGCTTGCCTCATCCAGCTCGACTCGCGGATGTTGCGGGCAGCAGGAGCAGTCAGAGCTTGAGTGGCGCCAGTTCGCCACAGGGTTCAATACCGTCCATCCCTTCACCGCCGCCAGGAACTCAATCGCCGGCCCCTCGATCCCCGACCCGTCGTCAGGCTCCGGTGCAAGCACTTCGTTATGGTGGACTCATGCGCCAAGCAGCGGCGGGCGCTGCAGGAAGGAGCGAACGTGGTAGCATGTACGGGAGCGAAGCGAGTAGCTTCAGCGATCTGAGTGAAAGTCTCGAGATGGAGGGTAGCGCGCTCGAGAGTGCACTCGCGAGCAATATCCGCGGTGGTGGGAGTAGATTGTGAGTACTCTGCGATCATATGTGACGGGGGGATTGAGGCTGACTCTCACAGCTCTGGATTCTCCAGGACGAGAACGCCGGGGTAGTAGGCAGCGTGCTAGATGCGCTGCTATTTCTCTCCGAAATTGTGGCTGTTGTAATCTGCGATATTGGCAATGACATTGACCTGACAACTGTACCCCTGACAACCGTGCCTGATGAGTCTGTGGAAATACTGTGTTCACAATGCACTTGGTCCTTTATGGCCCGATGCCATTGTGCTCGGACACTCGCGATGTATAAGGACGTGTATAGATCCGATTGAGCTCTCGATAACCAGGACTTGGCCACTCACTTCTGCTCTGGCATGGCCAATGCACTCGACATCCCTTTCAAGGTTATCGAGACCGTCTACCGCTCCGGACGTGGCGATAACATCGGTCTCAAGTGCGAGTGGGCGCCCTACTCTGGTGACATCACCTCACGACCACGATACGTCTTTGTCAAAACCAACGGTCCGGATCAGAGCGCCGGTCATCCATTGGCACATGAGATCGAAGTCCATCGCGCACTGTCCGGGGCTCCAGGAGTAGTGCCCTTCCTGGGTGTGCAGGCGTACCAAGAATCGCCCGAACGTTTGTGTGCGAGAGAAAGTCTCAGACGGGAGTGACCGATGTTGATGTATAGTCGCAGGCATCATGACTGAATATTCTCCGCATGGTGACCTGGAGGATTTGGTCAGTCGCTTTGGTCCTTTAGGTATGTACTTGTAATACCTATGACGGCACGCTCCGACCGGCCGACTCATAACAACCATCGCAGGTGAAAGCCATGCACGCCTGGTCATGCAACAGCTCCTACAAGGACTTGAGGTACTTATGTCTACGTCACAGTCCTAGCCTGCCGGAACGATGTCTGATTGAGGATCCATTTCAGGCCATCCACCGACGTTTCTACGTACATATGGATATCAAACCGGCGAATTGGCTGATCAGAGAAAACATGCCATCCGGTTTATTCGGTGGAATCATCGACTTTGGGTGTTCGCTGTCTTTTCGAACGGTCAGCGGGAAGATTGTATGTGCTCATTTGTGTTCTTGTCTGGACGTGCTGTCATTGAATATGTGACAACATCTCTAGGTTCCCAAGGGCAGGGGCACACCCGGGTTTATTGCACCAGAGATCGACTATGGTCTGAGCCTAGTGCTGCCGGATCGTGTGGACATCTACAGTGCAGGTTGCTTTTTGTTCTTCATGTACGTGGTGTATCATCAAGACAGGGTGGGCTACTGCTGATGCAAAGTGTCAGTCTAACAGGTCAGTTCGCGTATGAGCCCTCCGACGACGCTCCATGTCGCCTTCACAACTATCATGCAATGAATCATGTATGTTCTCCTCAGGGTGTGTACCGTAACGTGTCGCTTGAGAACCGGTGGATGAATCGTCACACAGGGCTGGATTTTCTCCTGCGCTTGCTACATCAAGACCCGCTAGTCAGGCCAACGGCCAGCCAGGCCCTCATGCATCCGTGGTTCGCGCTTCTCCTCGAGGAGCATGACGCCGTCGCCCTATCTTACCCTCCTGCTCCGCGCCCGTACATGATGGCGGCAAGAACGGCACATTACCCAGCGGTGCCATCGGGTGCGGCGATTGCGGCGGGTTCACCTCAGCATGCTGCGACGCTAACAGATACAGCTCCAACGACGAACGGAACTGGAATCTCAGAGGTTCAGCCTATCTGCGACGAAATGACGGGCAATGCAGACCAGACAGCAGAAGTTGCCAGCACGATTGACGAAACTACATTCCACAACTCCATAATTGACGCAGACTGGGTCGATGAAGCCGGCCTCAAGACTGACAGCGGCAGCAAGAAAAGGCATCGCAAACTTAGGTCACATGGCGTGGTACACAAGAATCAGGTTCAGCTCGAAGTCATGATGGCCAGAATGCTCAGGAAGCGGCGCCAGAGGCGATTGGGGCGCAAACAATGAGGTGCTGAGAACCGCGACTTGACTGGGTTCAAGCAGGGTTGCTTAGAGCATAAGATCAGCGCATGCCTTAAAAGCTGATGCTACTGGGCATTTCCGTATACGTTCATAGCCATTCTCTAAGCTGTTGTGATGTCTTAAATGCGAAAGATGCTTTGATCTGGTACGCGTTAGATTCTTTCGAGGTCGCGTGAGCAGATGATGGTGGGATGCAAGACGCGTCCGACCTTGGAACCCGAAAGTCATGCGTGCGCGTAGCCAAGAGCGACGAGCAGCCAGAGCGGGATGTCACCTTGTCACCTACTTAGTACTTACCACCTCAGAGGGCCGCGCAAGCCTTTGTTCTCGCATTTTCCTTTGATTCGACCGCGCGCTTACATATAAACCCAACGCGGAAATCGCACCGCCGATCCCAGAAAGAAGCTTGAGAAACCTCCGAGCACGCGCTCCCCGCCTTCGTCCCGACCCTTGCGTTCCATCTACTCCGCACAAGGACGGCAATATGTTGTTGAACGTGGTGAACGATCTCGGCCAGGCGTTTGCCGTCGAGATTGACCCTTCGATGGAGCTGGAGAACGTGATGGCTTTGCTGGAGGCCGAGGTGCGCACTTTGTGTGCCACTCGCTGCATCGTACTGAAGAATCCCATATATAGTCAGGTATCCCAGTGGCTGAGCAGAGCATTTCGCACGAGGGCCGTGAACTCAACAGGCCAAGCGCCACGATGCAAGAGCTCGGTGTCGGAGAGCACGGTACGCTGCTCATCAGAAGGAGAGTGGCACCTGGGCCCGGACCGTACGTCTGTTCGCTTTGAACGCGTCGAGAGTGAGCTGAACGCTGTGAAGACAAGGTCCGGCCGGCCAGGATGCCGAGACGATGCGTCTGCAGCTTTTGGGCGATCCAGAACTCATGCGACAGTTGGAGGCGGTGCGCCTTGACCCTCGCCTCTCCACTCGCGATCGGGCTGACTTGCCATGCGTCCTCAGGTACATCCCGACCTCACAGCTGCCGCCAGAGACAACCCCACACGCTTCGCGGAACTCCTGCGGCAAACGTCTCAGCGACAGGCACAGGCTGCTCAAGAGCAAGATCTCGAGGCCGCGCGTCTCAATGCAGACCCGTACGACATCGAAGCACAACGTCGCATCGAAGAGGCAATCCGGCAACAGGCTGTACTAGAGAACATGGAACATGCGCTCGAGTACGCCCCGGAGAGTTTCGGACGCGTCATCATGCTCTATGTACCCGTCGAGGTGAACGGTACACCTGTCAAAGCCTTCGTAGACAGCGGTGCACAGCAAACGATCATGAGCCCAGAATGTGCTGAGCAGTGCGGGTATGCCACGTCTCATTGCTTTTTCCTTTGTTCCCCGCTCACACGTTCCCGCACAGCATTATGCGTCTCTTGGACAAGCGCTTCGCTGGTATCGCTCGCGGTGTAGGAACTGCGAAGATTCTCGGTCGTGTGCACAGCGCTCAGATGAAAGTCGCAGACGTGCATCTTCCGTGTGCGTTTACGATCATGGAGGTGGGCACAGCCAACTTGAATACGTATCTTTTGCCGTTTGCCTGACACACGCCACTTGTAGGGTCGTGACGTCGATCTTCTCCTCGGCCTCGACATGCTCAAAGCGCACCAGGCGTGCATAGATCTTGGCAAGAATGTGCTCCGCATCCAAGGACGCGAGGTGCAGTTCTTGTCTGAGCATGAGTTGCCTGATAAGGCGCGCATATTCGAGACGCCACACGGCGACGAGGGCACAGAAGGACCGTCTACGCCATCGAACCCTACGCCTGCTCAACCAAACCCGCAGCAGCGTTTTCCTGGTGCGGGGAACACTATTGGTTCAGGCCCTACCAACACGGCGGCGCCTGCACCAAGGCGAAACGCGCCACCTGCGAGCTCGCATCCTGAAAGCGCGATACAGACACTCATGGGTCTCGGCGCGACGCGCGAAATCGCTATCAGCACACTCGATGCTGCTGGCGGTAATCTCGATGTCGCTGCATCGTTGCTGTTCTAATCATCGCTAGACATCTGGACGCATCATTCTGAGGGGATGCTCTGTTCTCAGTAAAGTTCCGCGGGTTTCCCGGGACACGGACACCTTTGTGGCAAAATAACAACTGTACATAATCGCAATGACATGACCGTGAAGTTCGTCTGTATCGCGTATGGACGGAATGAATGTCCGGAGATGCATACGGGATAAGCTGATTCCGATGCGCTGGGTCGGTGAGGTCAATCGCGGCCGGTCAAGTGTAGAGTTTCGCAGAGGCAGTGACAGATCATGATGTGAGCGTCAGTGGGTGCGAACTCCGTAGATTTTCAAATCCGCGTACGATTGGCAGTATCGACAGTAAGTCGGACTTGCTCTATCCGCTATGCACGGGCTATGTTTTTTGGGTTCCTATCCTTCTTTCGTGCTGGGATCATGTTACGATGCTATCGCACGACGGCGCCCTGGTTTCTTCGGTCCTGGGCGGGCTTCTACTTACTATGGAACGTATCTTCACTCGCGCGAGTCAGCTTCAGGCACGTCTCATCCGCCGCGATCTACCTAACCCTTCATGACATCGTGGCGGAGGCGTGCGTGGAGAATGGAAGTTGTCCGGTCATCGGTGCTGTGTGGATCGACAAGGTTACTCAGTCAACACGGTGTCTGCAACTCCGTGGCGATGCAAAGTAGGCTGTATTGCGTGCTTGCGATACGTAGACGAGGATGGGTCTACGATAGAACTTGCAAGGGAGCGGGAGAGGGGATGGAGAACAGTCATTGCAGTGGTCGTGTACAATGGGAAGGGCGGCCGGGTGGGGTGTGTGAAGGGGCAGCTAAGGACTCATAATGCGAGTAAAGCGTAAGGAGACTTTAACCGATCGAAGGTTAACATGGAGAACTTGAGTATCAAAGCAGGAAGGGAGAGGGACGAGACAGTGGTGTAGAGAGCAGGCGGCCGGGGGTGTGGATAGCGATTCAGAATGGGTTGCTGAGAGCCAGTAGTATGCGAGCCGGGGTAGTGGATGCGTACGAGTACACGTGCAAAACATAGTTTTGCAACAGATTTGGAAGGGACAACATGTGTGGAGAGCGAGAAGACAAAACAAGTCGTGATAGGGAGCGTGAAAGTGATGATAGTGAGGCCCGAATTCACGGGGGGGGGGGGCGCA